CCCGCCCCGCCCCGTCCCCACCTTCCGCATGGCCTTGGCGTGGATGAAGTGCTGGTTGCACCACAGCGTAGAGTAGCTGTTGTTCTTCCACTGCAAGTAAACATTCAGGTAAGTCAAGTGATCGCTCTCTGGAACAGCAAATTTCTCCCGCACTTGGTCGCTCTCCTCCTCTCGGCCCTGAAGGGAAAGCAAAGAACACGAGTTAGTCAAAGGGCAGGGGAAGGACCCCGACTGCTGAGAAAGCCAGTGGGTACCTTAGGCCGATAAAAGATGGCAGGGACGGACAACATGGAGACGATGAGTAAGATCTCAGAGCTGCAACCCATGTCGCAGGAAACAATGAGCATTTTGGAGAGTGCAGGATCCAGTGGGAACTCCACCATGAGGCGTCCCGTTGAGGTCAGGCCACCTGTAGGAATAGCACAGGGATCAGCAGCCGGGCAGGTCCCAGTCCCCTGGGCTGACAACTTGCCCCATCACCCAATACCTGTGTTATCCAGGGCACCCAGGATCCACAGCTGATACATGGAGTTCAGCATGTTGTCCTCAGGGGGTGGATCCATGAAATGGAACTGCAGCAGATCCTGCACACCCAGGGACTTGAGCAAGAGCACGACATTGGCGAGGTTGGTGCGCTGGATCTCGGGCACCGTAGTCGTCAGGAGCTCATTCTTGTAGGCGCTCTGGGTGTAGAGCCTGGGGAGCAGATGCTAAGACTGTGCTCCTCCCGTCCAGGCCTCTGCATCCCCTCCCGGCTCACCAGCTGTTGCCCAGCCAGGCAGGCACAGCATGGGGCAGCGGCCCCACGCTCAGCCAAGGCTGGCCAGGGGACCCTGGGAGGCAGTAGCGCCCTGGCCAGTGCGCGGTCTCCCAGCACAATGGGCCCCAGGCTGCAGCACTGCCCCTCTGCACTGCCCTCCCCAGCACTGCCCCTCTGCACTGCCCCCTCCCTGGACGCAGGCCCGCCCCAGTGCAAGGCCTCGAGAAAGCTGCCCTGGGCTTGGCTGTTACCCTGACTGCACTGAGGGCACAACAGCTGTGAGCCAGGACAGGCAAGGGAAGCAAGCTGAGCACATCCCTTCCTCTGCAGAGGCACTGGGCTCAGAAAGAGAAGGCCTCAAGGCCTGCCTGCTGCCCTTGTGCCCCCAGAAGCTCGTGATAACAAACAGCTCCAGTGACAGATAAAAACCCAACCCACCAAGCTGATGTCAGCTTACAGATACAACAGGAAGGGGAACACCAGCGCCGTGCCCACCTGAAGCAGTGGCCTGGGCCTGTTCGTCCAGCTCGGCCTGCCCTCTGATTGGCATTGGCTTGGCTGATGGGGTAGATCTGCAGCGCGTCCATGCCTATACGGGGGTTGAACACCTGCAGGGCACAAGAACAGACTGGAGTAAGAGGAAGGTTGGGTCACTAGCCCAGAACTCCCCTGAGCCAACCCCAGAGACCGCAGGCATAAACAGCACAGGAAATCTTGGCTTACCTTCAGCTTGCAGTAGCCAGAGTCGATGACAAACATGATGCCATCCACGGTCAGTGAGGTCTCTGCAATGTTAGTGGCAACGATGCACTTCCTGACGCCATCTGGAGCCTGCGAGAATACAGATCAGTCAAGTTAAGCACATCAGCCATGCCCCTGGGCAGAGGCCTCTGCACCACCGAGGAGGAGCACAGTTCAACAGCACACAGCCCAGGAAAGGAGTGACTCTTGAAAAGCTGAGGGGGACACAGGCTTTCTCTCCTACTCCACACACATAATACAAAAGCCACGTCTGCACCTCTCACTCATGCTCAGTAGCCTTCCCTGCACCAGGCTCCCCTGTCCCCAGCTCCTCTATCAGCACCTTCTGGAAGATCTTGGCCTGCAAGTCCGATGGTAGCTGAGAATAGATAGGCAGTACAGCAAGAGCAGGTGCCTTCTCCAGCTCCTCAAGGTGCTCCACGATTTGCTCTGAGGTCACCTAGACAAGGAGTGGTGTGAAACATGGGATTTAAACAACAAGGGGGTAGGATAGTGCCTGTCCTTCCAGCTCACCTCTATGTCCTCCTGGCCAGGCATGAAGACAAGGATGTCTCCGGGAGCACCAGACAAATGGACCTGCAGGGCTTGTTTCACTGCAGCCTCCACATAATCCTCTTGTGGGGTCTGAAAGCCACAGCCCAGGTTACAGATGCCATTAATGTCACCTGAGCTGTCACACACAAAGGGCTGCACCACTGCCCAGCTACTCCTCCTTTCTATGTCCCCCAGAGAGTACAGTACACCCACGTCACAACACCCTCCTATCAACACAGGACTTCCTCCTGCAATGTCAACCATACCTTGCTGAAAAGAATATCCACAGGGAAAGTGCGCCCAGGAATGTGGAAAATAGGAACGTTCCCAAAGAAGGAGGCAAACTTATCTGCATCCATGGTGGCCGAGGTGACAACAAGCTTCAGATCCGAGCGTCGGGCCACCACCTAGAAAGCAGATGGAAGGAACAATAAGGAAGGAGCACTTGTGCACGGCTGCAGGCTGCTTCCAATGTTACTGAGACAACAGCACAGCACTCCTGTCATACTCTAGAGGCACTGGCCACTAACGCCAGGGAACACAAATGCTGTATGAGCTATGCCATTAAGAAGACTTGCCCACCTCGCCCCAGGAAGTCTCAAGCCAACAAAGATCTCTATACCTAGAGTTTCTGCCAGCAAGTCTGCAGCACGAGGGCACCAGGGAAGATTCAACCCCCAGAACCACTGATCAGGATGTCAGAGCAGCAAGCATCGCCAGAGATGCGGCCCCTCTACTTCCCGCTCCC